TGATAAAATCCACAAATCTGTTCGTCTGGAAATCGGTTGTAAACGCCCGAGAAAAAGTCTAACGGGTGCTCCTTGGACAAGACCATTTTCATCGAATTGCCAAACAGCGGTAAGGGTTTGATGTAGGGCACGTTGAGTTTGCGCCATTTATCGTGTGTGGACGTCGAAAAGTAGTAGGCGATCGACACAAAGACCGCCGCGTACAATATGTACACGTAGCTTATCAGTCCGATGATAAAACTCGAAATCACGTCGAACATGTCGTAAGCTTTAGCCACGGTTTAGCCACGTGAATCAAGAAATATTGTTATTTTATAGTTTTTTAAAAGTCCGTGTTTTACAACATTCACGTTTGAATATGTATGTATTCTAGTGCGCAGTTTCGACTGTATTTCACTCATTATTTTGTTWTGTATTTGGTGTAGGTTTTAAAGTATACAATATAATTGTTATCCATTATATTGTGTAGTCCATAGCGATGAGTGGAGTGGGTTGACAAGGTGAACGTGTTGTGTACTTTCGCCTTGCGTTAATAATAATGAAATTTGCTATGATGGATTGTTATTTCCGTGGGTAATGTGTAAAAAAAAATCAAAAATAATTGTAGTGTAATCTAGTTGGACAGTGYATTAAACAAATGGAAACATTCCTAAATATTATTAATACAACAAATGTCATATTGAATTTTTATTTTAAGTGGTGTGTGATGAATGTATAGAATTTATATTATTTTTTTTAGATTGTCTATGTACACGATGAGTTRTCGAAATAATGCATCGATTTTTAACTGCAGTAGCTTTTCCGGTTGGAAATTGAATCTATTTGGTGTATTGAGGAGGTCAGTCTTTGAAATTCCCAGAAGTTTTCAAAAGCACCTGAAAACCCTCCACCCCAAAAAAAAAAAAAAAATTAAAGAAAAACAGGAATTTTTTACGTAAAATCAATTTTTGATATTAAATAGATTAAAAAATGTCTACCGGGATGTTTAATTATATTTTTATGAGTATTCGAATTCCATCATTGGATATTCACTCAATTTCTCGTGTTCCAATATTCTTATTTTGTTGTTATTCAAACACGAATAACTGTAGGAACTTKAAATTTAAACCATATGTTTATTTTATTAATTCCCTATACTTTATACAATATTTTAAAAATATGTCAACTATGTTTAAGTTATTTATAGACTATTGAAATTTTCCGTTTTTTTTAGTATTTTTTAGCATAAATGTCGATAAAATTGTATTCATTGGGTCATAAAACTTAAAAAATTTAATACAAGGTTCCCCATAAATTTATATAATAGCAGTTGGAAAATATTAAAATTATACCTAGTTAGTCGAGTTTATTTTTATAACCAATTAAAGTTCACATTTTGACAACATTTATTTAATTGAAAATGTACAAATCCTTTGGTTGTTAAAAATTTATAAAACGTTTAACGATAAAACAAGRTTCCAAGGAAGTAGTTTCTGTACCTATACACCATAAAAAGTTCAAAATATTTTGCCACAWATTGCAGTTCTGATTTTTTATTATAGCCACTTGCTCATCATCGCAAAAAAAAATACGTAAACAACATTATCAATTATTATACAATACCTATACATTTATTTGATATCTAAACGTTAGAGTTTCAAGGGCTATCATCAAATTGCGTCATATCGGACTAATAACTAACATAATACATTATATTAACAGCTGAAATTTGTTGTATAATATATGACGTAAAAAAAAACGCATGATCTTATAATATTTTATGATATGCGTATCATACTATTCATACTACCTAACTACCCTCACATTATCATAATGACTGCATAAGAAACAGACGTTATGAAATGTAAAGTCAACAAAATTTCAATGGCTCATGAGTAGAGCACGGATTTCTATGCAATTGCATATTTTTTTCCTTTTAATATTTTTGGATTTTTGTCAGTTATGTCYACGAATCATCATAATTTAAAGCTAATGGTGAAATTTTATTTTGCATATTTTTGCATATTTTGGCAAAATTTAAAATTTATTGCATATCGAAGCGAAAAATTAAAAAAAAAAATGTATAAAATAATATTTTGTCAAGTAGAAAAATTAAAACTAAATTTCATAGTCACTAAATAATAATTTACATATATAGGTATTATATTTATTTAAACCTTTATAAGGTAAATAATCGATTACGATTAAAAATTCATTCTATTCCTGGATTGAAAGGTGCAACACTCACTACAAAATTAAATGAGCTTTCCAACAAAAATTAAGGTCTGAAGATTCTACGAAAAATTAATTCAGTGTTTTAAGGCGAAAACGTTCAGCTCGAAGATCTTTATCAAAACCTGACAATACTAAGTTGCTTCAAATATGCCCCAATATCTTCGGTTGACGTCGAACGTTCGTTCTCAGTCTTTAAAAATATGTTAACCGATAAACGACACAGCTTCACAGAAGAAAAACTTGAAATGCATATGATTATTAATTTTAATAATAAATAC